AGTGACACTGCTATTAAAATTCACACTACCTTGAGAATATGTTCATTAACTGGGGAATCACACACCTAACTTGTAGTATCGACATAGTCTAACTTGCATAGTGCCTTGCAATGACTTCCAGCTGTTTCTGGTGACTCATTCATGTTTGTTTTTATTTTCTGCGTTCATGTATCACTTTCTCTGAGACGTGGAATTGATATAGTATACGCTTACATAGCCCTTTTAGTTACATTGCTTAGTCCAGTGCCCCAAAGCATAAGAGTGTATATTTCTTCTAAAAATAAAGGTTTACTGTAACTGTAGCTGCCCTTACGATATTTTCATTATCCATATAAATATTCAGTGCTTTTATTAATCCTACTAAAATGTTGGCTTCAGTTGCATCATGTGGCTAGGAGTTCCACATGTTTATATAAAACTTCATTTTCAGTTTTTAAATCAGTTGTTTTTTAATTTCGTTGGTTTGGGTGTTTCCATTCGCCCCCTCACAGTACAAAGATACAATTTACATTTTCTCTGCATCATTCCTTAATATTTTTAATAAACCTTTTGTCGTGTTGTTTATGACCATTCTACTGCGTAGGAGCCATTGTCGTGGACCAGGACCCCATTGTGCTAGATGCCGTACAAACATAGAACAAAAACTGTCCCTGCCTCAAAGAGGTTGGACTCAAATATAAAACCAAGAGACAACTTAACTAAACAGTGTCTCTTTTCATGTTCTCTTCATATGGTAGTCTCTGTCCAGGTGCCTAATATCTTTGTTACCAATCTCTTGATACCTTCTTGGTCTGCTGTTTTCAAATAGGGTGACCAGAACCAAATACATTATTCCAAGTGATGACATACCATCAATATTTACATAATGGCATAATATTTTCAGTCTTCTTATTCTGTTTACTAGTGCTTTGGCTTTTGATTTTTTTTCATCAATGTCATAGGTAAACATGTATTTCCTTTCCTTTCTTAAAAAATTGATAACTTAAATGAGGTGCAGACAGGTTAATGAGTTGCCCAGTTCACAAGTGGTCATGTCATTCAGGATTAGAACTCAAGTCTCCTGACTTTCAGTCCTGAACTCTGAAGGACTACAGCAGCCCCCTTTTCTTTCATAGTACAATTATAGAGGGAGAGGATATCTTACTTTTTATATTTCCTCACTGGGCCAGAGCCAAAGATTATTGAACTCAATATAAATCCTTTCATAAGTCAATTTACAGCCAGTGAAGTCATTCTAAGGTACCTTACAACTGTTTGAGCACCTTACAATTTTTAGTGTATTTATCCTTGCAATACTCCTTTGAGGTAGGAAAATATTATCCCTATTTTACAGATTGGAACTGATGCACAAAGTGAGTGACTTGCCCAAAATCACAAGAGTCTCTAGCAGAGGGGAGAACTGAACCAGTTTTGCAGGTCCCAGGCTAGTGTTCTAAGCACTGAATCATCCTTCCTCCCTGAATCAGGCCCTCATATTATTTTCTTGTAAATACAATTTTGTTTGAAAATGTTTAAGATAAAAAATTCAGGAATTCCTAGTGAATTGTTTTCATTAGTTTTATTTCATTCAAGTTTTAGGATGCCATCTCAGACTGCAGTTGTCTTAAACATTAAAACATTATCCATAACAAGTAAAAACCTTAACACTTTATATATATTATTGTATTTTAAATATATAACTTTGTGTAAAAATGAACACCAGAAAACTATTAAAGAAATTAAAGTAATACTATTTATTCTTGTGAACTGAGAAGAGGAAAATACCAGTGCTAATATGGAAATTGTATTCTGGCAAACTGTTCTAGAGGTGAATTTTTCTAATATTACTGACATGTTTAAATTCACAAAAAAATACAATATTTTAAATCCATACGTTATGGATTATTGTATGCCTATCTTAAGTATTAGAGTAACTTTGGTGTGAACATTTTAAAAAGAAGTGTTGTTGCAAAGTGAGTCTTCAAACAACAGTTTACTGAAGCTCAAGCAAAGAAGCTGGTACAGTTTGTTTTTAGTTTTAAAATATTGCAACAGTGTTGGAAGAAAGATCTTAAGAATTGTAATGGATATTCTTATTTAAATGACCGTTTAATGTGTATATGCTTATTAAACTAGGAGTATTTTGAGTTAAATTCTTAGTTTGGATATAAAAAATAGTGTAGTAACTGAATGAGAACTTAATCACTTTAGGAGAGTTATGTCAAAGGATCTGATCATACCAGTGATTAAGAGCTGGTCTTCGCTACAGGGAGATCTATGCTGCTGCAATCGATGCAGCAGGGGTCGATTTAGTGGGTCTAGTAAAGAACCACTAAATTGACCTCAGCGTGCTCTCAGGTCAACCCCGGTACTCCAGCTCCCTGAGAAGATTAAGGTAAGTCAACGGGAGAGCGTTTCCCATCGACACAGCACAGTGAAGATTCCAGGGTAAGTTGACCTAAGCTATGTCAACTCCAGCTACGTTCTTCACATAGCTGGAGTAGCGTAACTTAGGTCGATTTATCCTGGTAGTGAAGACAAGCCCTGAGACAAATAAACTATTAGTTGCGGATTACAACATAAACACAAATTGTGCACTGCAAAATACTGGAAAACTTTAACAATACTGTAGTTATAAACATTTCTGAATTTGATGAACATCTAGTAATACAAACATCAATAGGAGTAGACCAACATGATATAGATAGAGATAAATAAATAAAAGGCTGGTTACAGTCAGAACTCCTGGTACAGGAGTGATAAACTAAAGTCAAGATACACTAGAAAATAGTTTACTTTTGACTATATCAAATGTGAGACAATTCTGGTTCTTTCAGAACATATGTTAGGAATCAAGTAATAGAGAAGATGGTAAATGGAAGACACACGCAGAACTGGGATTAATTTGATAGTCCTATCCGCGGGTACCAATTATCTCACGGGGGGGTGGGAACAAAGGAGATGGAGAAAATTAATAGCCATTGGACAAAAAGTTGGGAGACTTGGTCATAGAAATGAAAAGTAAGTCTTTCTCAACAGTAATGTTCCATAGGAACACTTAAGGAGGGGAGATAAAATGTTTGATATCCTAATTGATGGTGTTGGTGGCTGCAGATGAATCCAATAAGGAGGATTAATAAAAATTAAGGCAAACTGGGACTGCCTGACAGTCAAGTTATCAAAAATTTGCATTAATTTTTTTCTGTGGAGTGTCTGACCCAGATCAGTGCTGGAATCAAGGAGTTGATCCTGGAGGAAGACAAGAATTTGACTTAGGGCAACGCATTGGCACAATTTGGATTGAAATGGAATAAGTGAAATTGGCTAAAAACTGCTTAAAATAAGACAATCCAAGGATTTTGAAAGAAGGACCTCATAAAAGACAGGAATTAAAGGCAGAGTATTTTTAATTGCCTATTCCCAGATATCATCCAGTATATTTTTTTCCTGTTTGGAAATATCTGTGGTTCAGAAATGAATCACACAGTAGTACAGGTTAATGTTCATTTTCAAGGCTCAAACTACTTTGTCCAGACATTCTCTTAGAGCTCATTCCATGGAAATGAAGTTTTCAGTGGTTCTGGCTCCCTAAATTCATGTTCAAGGTGACTCTCTACAACTCTTTCTACAAAATGCAGGGAGTAGATTCTTTGGCTTACCAGCACTTTTTTGCACAAGTTAGACATTAGTTTGTAAAAGCTAGTTAGCATTATAAATTATCCACTCTTTTTCTAAATTCTCAAAACCCAAACATAACATGAAACCTACTCAGTTAAGTTTTTTAGGATTTTAGGCTAGCAGAATGGCTAAGTGGGTCTTCTCTAAGCTTTTCCTGAAACTACAATTTCCTTTTTTCCTTTTGATAAGCTGTTCTGATTTTTATTGTGCATTTTGTTTAGCTGGTGATTTTCTTTTTCCTCGTCTGTCCTCAAAAGTCTTTGAATCCATTTCAAAGACAATTTTCCTTGCTTAGGTGGCTTAAGTCTCTCTGAGCTGCACAATATCGTTTTGAAAAATTAAATCCTACGTGGCTTTGAAACGCTGAACATAGCTTTTGAAATACTAAATCCTGCCTGGCTGAGGGGGGAACTGAAAGTGTATTCATGTTGCCAGAAGCCTCTTTATTGAAGGAATGCAGAATGGATATTTTGGCCACATTACATTATTTCACTTCTATTAAACTTATCTCCTGCAAATGAGGTTTTCAACAAGCAAGTCCTTTTTGGCAGTTGTGTTTATTTAATAAAAAAAAAAGCTCGTTTCTCTTCTAGTAGTACTATTATTTCCTCCCAAGGTATGGCTTGCCTGTTTTGATGCTTTTCCAGTGGAGAGGAGGACATGCAAAGACCAATTACTAGTGATGGCATTTTTCATAGACCTCTTCCATATGGATCCAACATAGCACAGGAGGAAATTAAGTCTGTTCTTTCAGTTTTCTGTGTAGGTACAGCCTAATCTCCATTTGGTACATAGTTAAAATTTTCTGTGCTTTTTACTATAGCAAGTATAAGGACACACATTTTTAATACTGAATGTTACATTTGTTCAATATAACCTTTCACGTGCACTTCTCTTACTCTTTTATGTTTCCATGACTAATGGATGGGAGAGCACTGTATCAACTTACAGCACACTACCAAAATTTAAAACATTTCACATTCAGTTCTATGAATAAGGTTTAAGTCATCCCCAGGCAAAAGCAATGAATTCCTTTTTGCCTTAGTTAACTCTGGGGTGGGAGAGAGATACTATTTTAAGTGGTTAAGTGAATACCCTTTACCTTTTTGAGCATTTCCTATCAAACTCTTCACTCATTCATAAGTCATTTAAAACATGTATGTGGAAAAAGTGGATGGAAATACTCACTAAATAAACAAAATAATCCTAGCTCAATTTGGTTAAAAGATTATAGCACATGAACAACCTTTGATCAATAAAATTGATCATAATGCTTTTGTGCTTTTTAATAGCAACTTCAGAGAGCATTTCAGCTACATTATAATAATATATCTTTGTTTTAGATCATATGGGGAGTATTTTTCATCCTAGTGGCGCTGTTGTTCACCATTTCTCTTTTCCTGTCAAAGTAAGTATATTGCAGTGTCCATTTTGTAAATCAGTTACACAGATCATGTACTGTATGCCTTTATCTAAGCTAAAATCCATTAATATGATCTAATTAATCTTAAGAGTTGTCTGCTTTACTTTAGAAGTGTTCTGCAGTGGTGTACTTTTTTCTTGCATATTCCTATAACTGACCATATTGCTATACTTTAACATTATACATCTAAACTAAATTTTGATAAAGTTGAAACAGATAAGTCAATAAAACATTGATTAAATAAATATTGGTCAGTTTATTTTTCTGCTTAACTATCCACTGTAAGCAACTATCCACTGATGCAGCAAAGAAATTAAGCATACGTATAGACAAATGCAAATAAAGGGACTACTTATGTGGTACAAAATAAGCATGGGCTTATGTGCCTTCTGGGTTAGGGAAACAGTGCTCAACACCTGGCGGGTTTTGAGCCCTCAATCTCCTTTCTGCGTATTGTTTAGGTCCTGGTCATTTGCATGCTTCGTGAAGCTTAAATTATTATAGTCAACTGGAAATCTAAGTAGTTCATTTTTTAAAAAGTCTGTTACGTCACCTGTCCCCAAGTCCAGTCCCCCTATGGTGTTTTGGGGTTTTTTAGGTTTAAACCTCACTTTCCCTATTAAAAATATTTCCCTCTTGCCTGTTTATATGAAATAACCATACAAACAAACAGTAGAAACTAAGGGATACATTGTGCAAAGATACATGTGTGTAGTCTCATTGACTTAACGTGAATAACTTAACTTGCATGTTTGCAGGACCAGACCATAGCTGACAATACAGGGGGAGCTATGGCATTCTTTCAATTATAACTTTTTTGGTGTTTGTAAGATTTTTTAGAAACCGTTAAACATAAGAGTGATTTTTAATCTGATATCCCTTTAATTGAAACTCGAATAAAAATGTTTTATGGAGAGGAAAAAAGCCATAATAATTAACCAGTTTCCCCTAATTATTACAGCTTGGACAAAGCTCTACATTCAGCTGGCATCAATTCTGGATTTATAATTTTAGGAACTAATCTGACCAATCCATTGAATATGCTTTTACCTGTTCTACAAACTGTAAGTAAAACAATAATTGGCAAATATATATATGTAATAAGCTGGCAAATATATATATGTAATAAGCTTGCTAATATGTGCTAAGATCTAGGAGACCATTGCAGATTAAAAGATCTTGTGAGTCTGCAAGTCAACTAATAGATAACTCAAAAATGCAAAACAAACTTCATTTTTGACATGCTTTGTTTTAATTTAATATTGGTAGTATACTGGTAAATCTGTGGCAATGAATATTATAATAGTAAGTCTTAATAAAATACTTCACTACAGCAATCTCTTAAATATTTGCTGAGAAGTTAAATGAATTTTTTGGTGAACTGTTAGTTTTGCAGATTAGCACATTGAAACACCAAGGCCCTCTTGCATTGTATATGTTATGGAAACATGGAATTATTCCTCAAGTGATTGTCCAGACCGATTCCACGCTTTGGGCTTATGCCCCCTGCACATGTGATCAGATTCTTTTTGAAATAGCAGTGTCCATTGGGGCTGTGCCTGCACCCTGTGAGCACTTGTGACCATTGTAGCTGAAGATATGGAGCGGGTTAGCCTCAGCAGCCTCTCAGTTCCTTCTTACTGTCCATGTCTGCAAGACAGAACCCTGCAGTCTGTCTCTTAATCGTGCAAGTAATAAGTTAGAGCTATTGTTGTTTATAATTGTGAGACAAATATCAAATATCTGTTGGTTTGAAAAAAAATTTCTTATGAAAAGAGGGCATTGATGGGGTTTCTAACGCCCCTTCTTTCCCACCAATCCCTCTGTGCACAAGCCTAAAATAGCCAGAGGCAAATCTCCATGATTCAAGATCTGTAAGTAATAGGAAGGAAATGTGTTAGATTATCTTTTGTTTTAGCTTGTGAATTGTTCCGGCCAAAGCGTTCAAGTACCTTTATACCCACCCACCTCTGGGCTCGCTAGTTGTCTCTGCCGCCAACGAAAAAGACAAGCAGGGGCACACCAGCTCAACTCCCAATAATAAAGAGGCCAAAAGACTGGACCTTTTTGGGAGAAAAATTTGTTCCACTGCCAGCCTGCAGTTCTGGGTGGCGAACCATCAGGCCTTCTTGTGCAGATACAATTTTAATTTGTGGGATGCCCTCCATAAGTTCAAGGAGTCCCTCCCACAGGGTCTGGCCCAAGAAATTGGCACCCTGGTAGAGGAAGGCACCACGGTATCTAGGTGCTCCATCCAAATGGCATGGGATTCAGCAGAATTAGCAGCTAGGGTAGTTGCGTTGGCGGTGGTTATGAGGTGCAGCTCCTGGCTTCACACTGCCAACCTTTCCCAAGAGATACAGACCTTGATCCAGAACCTCCCATTCAATGGGAACGGTTGCTTCTCCAAACAGACGGATGCGAAGCTGCATGGGTTGAAGGACTCTTGGTCCACCCTTTGATCACTAGGCATGCATATGCCACAGTCTGCATGGAAGCAGTTCTGGCCGCCCCCACCGCCAAGGCCATGGCAGTCTTGTTAGTGGTTTGCAAGGAGAAGGGATAAAGAAATGTTTTAGTTGTCACCATCCTTCCTTCTCCTGCTCACCCCACAGCCCGGCCCGGCGAGGCATCCCGGGGTCCAGAAGCGCTCATTTTGAAGGTGCGCCCAAGAGCGATTCCCCAGTCAATTTCCTGGATCCACCTTGTTCTTTCCTCTACCGTCTTTGTCTCTACCGTTTGGCCTGGTTGCAAGTCACCTCGGACCGCTGCTGGACATAGTATCTTGGGGCTATACTCTGCAATTTTCAGCCACCTCCCCTCTTCCCCGTCCATCTTCAGGGATTCTTCTCATGTCAACTCCTCATTCAAGACGTTGAGAACCTCCTGCGCCTGAAGGCGATGAAGAAGGTCCCTCGGGACATGAAAGGCAAGGGGTTCTGTTCCCACTACTTCCTAATCCCGAAGGCAAAAGGGGGCCTCAGATGAGGAGCGCAGGCTACACACCCTGGACGTCAGGAGGGCGCTGGCCTTCTACATAGATAGAACAAAGCTGTTCAATAAGTCAACACAGTTGTTCATTGCAGTGACAGACCGAATGAAAGGTCACCCAGTGTCTGCTCTGAGGATTTCATCCTAGCCTGCGTCCGCTACTCCTATGAGCTGGCAAATGTGCCTCCGCCGGTGATCGGCACACTCGACTAGGGCACAAGTATCGTCAGCGGCCTTCCTGGCACAGGTACCAATCCAAGAGATCTGTAGGGCCGCTACCTGGTCATCTGTCTGCACGTTCGCATCTCATTATGCGCTTACCCAGCAAGCTCGAGACGATGCTTGCTTTGGCAGAGCAGTGCTGCAAACTGCAAGATGGTGAACTCCAAGCCCGCCTCTATTGTTACTGCTTGTGAGTCACCTAGAATGGAATCGACATGAACAAGCACTCGAAGAATAAAAAACGGTTACCCAACTTTTTTGTAATTGTTCTTCAAGGTGTGTTGCTAGTGTCTATTCCATTACCTCCCCTCCTGCCCCTCTGCACACACGTAGAATGGAGTGGACGTGAGCAACACATCTCGAAGAACAACAATTATGAAAAAGGTGGGTAACCATTTTTTTTTCTGGGGATGGGTCAGCCAGGGGCAAGTCCTCCCCAGCTGGAACTAGCTGAGCCCAGCGCAGGGTCATAGCCACCTGCCGGGGAGTCCTCAGCCCCACCCTCCTGCTCCTGCCCTGCAGTGATTTACCTCTCCACCGGCTGCTCTAGGCACCTGAAATGACACACCTGCACTACTGGGGAGAGGCGCATGACTGCTTTTGTGGCTTCCCTTTGCTTCCCCATCAGAAAGTCACTTTTCTGCGGGAGGAGGGAAGACATGAATTCTGTGCACGCACAGTGGTACAGAATTTCCCCAGGAGTAATTGGCTGTAGATCTAACCAGACAGGACTCATCAAAGCGCTTTGTGCCCCGCCTGTGGAGGAAGACTTCACTTACTCAGCCTCCTCAGGTGATCGCATCAGACTATCTTCACAAGAATCTGAACTGTCCCTTCCCTGGACAGACGGCGCAGGGAGAAATCCCTTAGGTGTGCTCATAAGTCAGTTGGGTCAGTAAGAGATCTGCAGAGCTGGAATCCCCATATATGTCCTCTTTCCCCTGGTCCTATTTGGGCCCCATGGTGGGGCAGTGGGGACAATTCATGTTAGGAAACCAGCTGACTAGATCTCCAAGTCAAGGTCTTCATTACCAAAGCATTTGCTGCAGCCAGCTTCATCACAAGTTTCAACTCTATATCTACTAGTAGAGGAGGAACAAGGAGTTAGTGGAGATGATCCAACAACCAGTGGCCATCTCCCTGGACAGAGCAACCAATCCTAGACCTACAGCCTCTTCAGACAAATAAAGTGTTTTTTGGGACGTAATGAGATTAGCGAATACTCTGGACGCTCTTCTGGAGATATTCCAAATAAAGCTGCATAAACTACTGGACACTTGCTAACCCACTCGGTCAGGTAGAATGGCCCTACCAATTTAATGAAGGGCTTCAGGGAGCAGTTAAGGCAATACGGCACATTTTGCATCTATCCCCGCAACTCTAAACAAGCCAACAGTAGATACCAGGCGCCAGCTAAGGGGTTTGATTATTTCTTCCAGCACCTCACCTGGATCTCTGGGCATCCAAGCCACAGTTGAGAGGTCAAATAGCAGACTAAATTTACACTAAGAGAAAAAGATCCAAAGAAGTTGGATCTTTTTGGACAGAAAGTATACTCTGCAGCAAGCCTTCAACTCAGGGTTGCTAATCGTCCATCACATCTTTATGAAGTATGTTTTTTTCGACTATGGGACAGTCTCTCCTCCCTGACAGACAAGCTCCCTAATGAATATTAAGAGGAGCTAAGCTTGACTGTGACTGAAGGTCAGCTTCCCACCAGAACAACACTGCAGACAGTACTTGACACATCAGATATGGCAGCCAGGAACATGGCTCAATCTGCCTGGCATCCCCCATGAAGTCCAGGCAACCATAGAGGACTTGCCATTTCAAGGCATGGATGAGGCATTAATCTGTCTCTAAAAGGTTCAAGAGCATACCTGTGTCCGCTGGAACTTTATGTTCCAGCTCTGGAGCAGCAGCAACAAAGGCTGTCTCTACACTGCTTTCCAGTTTGAAGTAGGGGGTCTGAATAGCAGTGTGCACCCAAATGCTGCACTGTAACTCAACCATGTGGATGCTGTTAGGGTGAATTTAAATTTATAGTTTTCATTAATGTCAACTTGTTTAAGGGAGAGTTCCAGTGGAGCAATTTGGTGAGCACTGTGATTCACAACCCCATAGTCCAAATTGTGCAGCAGTGTAAACAAGCCCGAAGACTTCAGTCTTAAATTGGATGCAGGCCTGAGCAGCATTTTCAAGAAACCCTTCAGATCTGCTGAGAAAGCACCAGCATTTCCGTCAATAGCCCTCAATGACCTCTTCAACAGCCCACAACAGGGACAGGCATCCAGAAAACAGTTTTGATGGGATCATCAGGAGCCTGGCTGGACCATCTATGGACCCATCCACTTCTCAGCTTGGCAACTGCCTATTTTATTTTGGAGAGGTTGGACCGGGATTACCTTAAATGAATGGGTCTTTGAAAATGTGAGCAAGGGGGTGTAGTTTCAAGTTTTAGACTGTTCCAATGCCCCCCCCCCTTCAGGGACCCTTATCATGAGACACTTCTACAGCAGGAAGTCAACTCCCTATTACAGCTGGAATCAATAGAGGAGGTACCTTAAGAATTTGAAGGGAAATGCTTCTATTCCCAATATTTGATCCCAAAGAAGAAAGGGGAATGGAGACCTGCAGCACCCCAGTGCCTTTGTTGGTTGCTTCAGGATGCCTCCATCCTCCCCTCCTTGGATCCTATGGACTGGTTTGCAAGATGCCTATTTTCATATCTTACACTTCCAACGCGCAAATTTTGTGATTTGTGGGAGGGTCATCCCATTTCTAGTACAAAGTCCCACTGTTCTATCTGTCTACTGCCCAGAGGGTATTTACCAGTATTCTCACTGTGGTG